ATGCAACACAGTAAAATCCCCAAAGAGATTCACCAGCACGAGCCCATCCAGTTGCAGCAAAAGTGAACCAACCTGCTGAGCTACTCACCAGGTACAGCTCGATGGCTCGGGTTCTAGCAGTAACAGTGACAATCAACAGGGCAATCGACAGATTCAGAAAACTGCCGACGCCCCCGGGGACCAGTCCTGTCAACAAGAGAACTCAACAGAGCGAGATTATCCTGGGTAATAATAACACAAAATCAGTACTTTGTTTCAGCCCTTCGTGTGCTTCAGAGAAATCAACAGCTACCACGAAGTTACCAACTAGCAAAGTTCACACCAGCGCCAGAGTACTAATTGATCAAGGATCAGAGGTGTCATTTATCTCTGAGAAATTAGTACATCAACTGCACCTCACAAGGACCACAGAAGCGTTCGGGGAGTCAAAATTCAAGGCTTCACGACAGCTCAGATCAACTGCCAGCAAACTCAACAACAATCAGGCATATGCCCAGCTCTACTAGAAGTTCATCAACGAGTACGAGGCCTTGGGACATACGCAGAGAGCACCCGATTCTCCAGAACTTTCCCCTGCTTATTATCTGCCACACCACGGGGTTCTGAGAGAAGAGGCCATCACTACAAAGCTGAGAGTCGTTTTCAACGGCTCCAGTCCCAGCTCATCAGGTATGTCACTCAATGATATATTATATCCTGGTGGTAAATTGCAGATCAATGCCATGAACGTTGTGACATGGATGAGAAAGCACAGGCTCGTGTTTGACACCGACATCGCCAAGATGTTTAGACAGATACGAGTTCATCGCGACGATTGGGACCTCCAGAAGAAGATTCAATTAGAGGACCAACAGAACGACAACCAGTAATTCAACAACCCTGATGTTGAATGCCCCCGGGGTGTTTGAAACGTAACTCAACTTCTCCAAGACCAAGGTCGATCAGATCGGCCACTTACGAAAATCTTCGGGAAAACTCGGGTCAACGGTCAGGCCTAGTCAATCACCGAATCTCAGAGTCAGTCAGTCGTAGAGAGTCGTAGCAAATGAGTTGAGCGAGCAGTATATCGTTTTTCTAAAGCTACTTTCGGTTGTCCGACCAGCGTCAGTACATCACCCGTTCGAGACATTTTGTTTTCTCAGTACATCTCGTATTTAAATTCTCAGTACAGTCTCCTATTATTCAGTATATTATTCAGAAAATCTCCAGTGTTAAATTCAGAACAGTTTGAATTAATTTCAGTGACAATTAACAGAGTGTAACAAGTGACGCTAAGGTGGTTCGATTCCACCGAATAAATCAGTATATTTTTTATACTCAGTGCGTTCGTTTTTCACCGGCATTTCCACTACCCCTTTCCCAATCCACCCTAAATTCAGTTTTCCCTCCAAACAAACGTTTTTGTAGGAAATTTGATCTACAAAANCGTTCGGGGAGTCAAAATTCAAGGCTTCACGACAGCTCAGATCAACTGCCAGCAAACTCAACAACAATCAGGCATATGCCCAGCTCTACTAGAAGTTCATCAACGAGTACGAGGCCTTGGGACATACGCAGAGAGCACCCGATTCTCCAGAACTTTCCCCTGCTTATTATCTGCCACACCACGGGGTTCTGAGAGAAGAGGCCATCACTACAAAGCTGAGAGTCGTTTTCAACGGCTCCAGTCCCAGCTCATCAGGTATGTCACTCAATGATATATTATATCCTGGTGGTAAATTGCAGATCAATGCCATGAACGTTGTGACATGGATGAGAAAGCACAGGCTCGTGTTTGACACCGACATCGCCAAGATGTTTAGACAGATACGAGTTCATCGCGACGATTGGGACCTCCAGAAGAAGATTCAATTAGAGGACCAACAGAACGACAACCAGTAATTCAACAACCCTGATGTTGAATGCCCCCGGGGTGTTTGAAACGTAACTCAACTTCTCCAAGACCAAGGTCGATCAGATCGGCCACTTACGAAAATCTTCGGGAAAACTCGGGTCAACGGTCAGGCCTAGTCAATCACCGAATCTCAGAGTCAGTCAGTCGTAGAGAGTCGTAGCAAATGAGTTGAGCGAGCAGTATATCGTTTTTCTAAAGCTACTTTCGGTTGTCCGACCAGCGTCAGTACATCACCCGTTCGAGACATTTTGTTTTCTCAGTACATCTCGTATTTAAATTCTCAGTACAGTCTCCTATTATTCAGTATATTATTCAGAAAATCTCCAGTGTTAAATTCAGAACAGTTTGAATTAATTTCAGTGACAATTAACAGAGTGTAACAAGTGACGCTAAGGTGGTTCGATTCCACCGAATAAATCAGTATATTTTTTATACTCAGTGCGTTCGTTTTTCACCGGCATTTCCACTACCCCTTTCCCAATCCACCCTAAATTCAGTTTTCCCTCCAAACAAACGTTTTTGTAGGAAATTTGATCTACAAAAAATTTTTTTTTGCAAAATGCTGTAAACCCATTTGTTTACGAGATAATTGCAAAAATATTTTTTTTCAGCAAAATTCCGCCAAAATAAAAAAATCAGAACTCTGGGGATTCCATAAACAATTAATAATTATTAATTGTTTACGCAAAGCGGGAGAGGAAAGAATCATTTTTTCTCTCTTTCGTAATCCCCTCCAAGAACATAGTAAGAGCGACAGAGAAGTATCGTTCCTTCTCTTTCTCGCTCACGAGTGGAAGGGGAACTCTATCCCGCCTCCTGCTCAGTGGAAGGGGCATCACGCACACTGATGCGCACAGCCACACGGACGTACAACTGCTGAACGCTGTAGCGCCTTCTTTCTCACCCTAATAACTCCTCAGGGGTGCATCTGATCAAAAAGTGGAAAAGAATTTTTCTGTTCAGAATCACCCCGTGCACCTGCCGGTTTCGGATCAGCATGTACTTCATTGACACCCTGTAGACTCCCCATTGGTCTGCCTTGCCTGTCCCACTTCTCTCTTCTGGTTTCATCTGCGTTACCATGGGCCGTCTTACTCTTAACTTTATCCCATTCGGGCTAGGACTGCACGGGAAACCATGCAGTCGTATAGCCGGCCGATTGTGAAGAGCCCTAATGTGCCCTTCTGTCACACTGACTAGAGGAGCACATGAGGTCACTATACCGTGCCTACCTTCCAAAATTTTTGGGGGAGTGTGTTTCTAAGCGGTCACCCATCCAAGTACTAAATGCAGCTGCACTCAGATGTCCGCGGGAGCAACACCTACACTGAGAAAAAAATTGCTTTTGTCAAGGATATTTACTAACTACAAGAAAATTTACACATGTATCATGCAAATAATTATATACATTTATTTGTGGCAAGTAAATATATTTGGCAAAAGCAATTTTTTTTCTCAGTGTAACTCACCCAACCATTACAGGCGGTCTAATGTATGGAGTGTTATCTTTATATACAGTTGATTCCCGAAAGTCTTAAACTCGACGATGTATGAACCACCACATGTGGATGAAACATCATGCATCGTAGGGTTATGCTGATAATTCAGTTGCAGATTCAATCAGTTTTTCGTGATTTTTATGATCAATAAGTATATTGAAATCCGAAATGCGTTGTTCATTAGTGTACATATGCCAATGTATTTCATAGGGGTGTATATTATTGCTACGTGTAATTATTAATCGTTTTCGGATTAATTGTGCTTGAAAAAGTATGAACATTCCAACCTGTGGAAATAATAATGTTTCATTGAAATATGTGCATAACACCAAAGTATGTTTTAATCGAGTGCGTTTCCATTAATGTGTTAACTTGAAGTGCCCGCATAATTCTTTTTGTGTACCATTTGGAAATGAACAAAAGGAAATTATTTCAATTCAGAAAGGTTGCTTACGAATCATTAGGACACCTTCTGCAGAATTCATTTTATTATAAAACATTCCGTGTGTTAAATATCAAGTGTCATTCATCGTGTGTTCTTGGTTATTGGTTATTCTGCCAAGAAAGAATTGGGGCGGTGTTTAAGTATACCAAAATTAATACCGAAAGAAGAAAAAAGAGAAGTAGAAAATATCATTAGTTAACCCGAGTCTGGTCACCAAATGCGCCCCTGCGACTTGGTCACCTCCGCGGGGATTCGCCGCTGTGTTATTTAGGCTTTAGTGTTACCGAATTCACTCCATACTGCCCGGATGCGTTTAGCGGGTTTCTGGCAACGTCGCGTTACGGGCAATTTCATTAAACATGGAAAAAAATAATTCATCTGTTCGAAATAATTTATTTTCTTTGGGAATTTTGGGGAATATGTTGTTTTAATAATTACTATAGTTTTTTAGACTCTTCAATTGACAAAGTCAAATTTTTTATATTTTTTTCGGTAAGCCAGTTAATTGTAATTGAAGAAAAACGTCGCGTGGTGGGCTTTCCCTCATAGGGTGACCAATCTAGGGTTAATTAAAAGAATAGGTTGCGGGGGCTAATATTCTAGTTTTCATTGGTTTTTTAAATTAATTTTCTCCAAACAATTCTCTGAACCGATGGACTTTTTTTTGTAGAGGGTATATTTATCGATACGTCACACAATTTCTTACATTGTTTCATAATTGTCATAAGAGCATGGTTTAAAATGCATTTTTTAAATAATCAATACCATTTAAACAATGAATTTCATGGTCTTCAGCAATCTGAAACTCCGTACAGGGCTTCAGAATATATTAAAGAATGTATTTAAACAAAAATTCATAAAATCGGCTGCACCTTTCTATACGTCTTTACTTTGCCTGCTCATTCTTAAGAGTTAAGGATCACTATGATTGAGAATGTATAAAAATAGTACGAATAGTACAAAACTGGATGTTTTTTTTATAATTTACGATCTTGATACAGCGCATCAGAATATTTTCAAAGCGCGCAAAAGGCCTTCCGAAAATTTAAAAAGCAAGGTAGATTACGTTTGAGAGATGATGGATACGGTCTTTAGCAATAAGTTTCTCTATTGAGTTGATTGACCAAGTCAGAATATTAATCTAATGAATCAAATTTTTCAGACTTCGAGAGTTAAAATGGGTAACAAGCCTTAATTACGGACGAGAAAATAGATGAAGGAGAACTTAATTCATCTCATCAAGTAGCTGAACCAGAATTGACGCACCACATGAGTATAATTACCACTTCAACCATTGAGTGACGAATTCCTTGTGGCTTCAATTAACGAGTTCCAATGTCAAGAAAATATCCAGAGCTTTTTTGCTATTGTATATTCACATGTGTTGCTTCTGTCCCTTAATATTGCTGTAAAAAACGTCTGTTTGAAGAATTATCAATCTTATTAATGTTTAATCTCAAGAATCATTCGTACTTTGCATATACATTATCTTTCTGAGTCTTCTATTCCTTCATTACGTATCAATTATAAATTCATTTGAAAAATGGTACAGTTCTCCGTCTCCAAGTATACATTGCACAATTTACGTTGGAGAACAAAACTATATAGAAAAGCATTCATGGACCGCACGAGTTTAACGTTATGAAGATGATTGTAAAAGTAGATGCCGCTCAATGTCGGAAATACAGAAATATGTTATAAGTTATTAAAATTTGTTAATTGTAATTTATTTGTACTGTATAACTCTGTGGAAACACGAAGGTATCAACCAGGTATGCGATATATTCTGTTGCAGTGCGATGATTGTTGTGACTAGTCACAAATGTTTAACAGGGTGTCCTAGAACCCAACGTCCAAACTTTACCCTGAAGTTTGGGGTTAAATTCTGGGTCGAAAAGTCCTCAATAATTTTTCAACCGTTTCCGTTATTCAAAAGAAAAATTCAAATAGAATTAAAATTTAGAGAGAAAAAAATCCCGATCCGCCCAGCCGGGATTCGAACCCGGGTCTCCCAGTTACGCACCGGGCACTCTTCCAACTAAGCTGCCGGGAACCACGGAAACTCTCTCACTCCAAATTCAACTCAGCACATCGCCGAACCACCTTTAGGCACACCTTAAAAAAAATGACAATATGTTGACAATGTGTTGACATAATGTAGATTAACTGTTATACAGAGGGAGTTTGGCTCCTTTTGTGTTTTATTCTTGTAAACATGAGTATGTGGAGCATTGATTAACCGGAGTTATGAAAATTTATTAGATGGAATAAACTGCCCTGAGGAAGAATGCATATAGCATTCGAAACGTCGGCAATGTTGAATGAAAACAGATTTTTATTCATTAGAATTTTCGTATTTGAGTTGTTGGAATTGTTTGGATGGCCGTATTATGGCTGCAGAGGGGTGTCTATTGGAAAAGTCCTGAAGAACTTTTCGATCGGAAGCATCTTTTTCGACTTATTTAAAGTTGAAGTTGGACGAATCAGGAGCGCGGGATAAACGGACGCCTGACGGTGAGTGGAATGTAAAAGTGTTGGTGGTGTTCCCACCATACCGCTCTACTCCCCTGAGGCAGACGAAGTAAAAGACTACGATCTTTGTTCTGGTGGCATGAGGGGGGAGGGGGAGGAAATTATCAATTTCCGCCCAGATTGAGGCATGGGGTGGAAACCTCGATTTCTCGCATTTTTGATGAAACAGAATTCTTTGCAAAAAAAAATTTTAAAAAAAAATAATTTTCATGTATCAGGAGGCTACTCCAACTTCCTAAAAATCCACCAACCTCCTCCAATTGGTACTTAGAGGTATTAAGGGGGTAAAAAATTAATTTTTCTCGTTTTTGCAAAAAAAAAGTCGCGTCCAAAATATGGTAAAAAAATAAATAATTGTCATCAGAAAATATGTCAGGAGGCTTGCCCAACCTCAAAAGAATCACTGAGCCCTCCGATTTTTACTTAGGGTTATTAAAGGAGTGAAAAAATTATTTTTTCCGTTTTTCATGAAAAGAAAAGTTGCCCCCAAAACAATGTAAAAACTAAATAATGGTCATCAAAACATATGTCAGGAGACTCTCTCAACCCCCTCAAAAATCAGTGGCCCGCTCTAATTTTTACTTAGGGGTATTACAAAGGGGTAAAAAATGGATTTTTCCCCTTCTTTTATGAAAAGAAGATAGTTGCACCCAAAACCAGGTAAAACCGTAAATAATTGTCATCAGAGAATATGCCAGCAGGTTCCCCCAACCCTTTAAATAATAAGTGACCTCCAATCGGTACTTAGAGGTATTAAGGGTGTAAACAATTAATGTTTCCAATTTTTTGCTTCCAAAGGGAAGCATTATTTTTGGTCGATTTTTCAATTCTCTAATTTTGGTTGCAAATAGGCTATAACGTCATGAAACGTAAAGAAATTATGTTTTTAAGGGGGTGCCTGTATGTATGTGTGTGTAGATTCGAGTTTTTGGTGATTCAATTTTAGAAAATTCAACGTAAATACGGTGAAATTTGCAGCTAAAAATTTGAAATTTCTGCTCGTGATAGCTATGAATGAGCCTCACTTTGGTGCTTCGTTTCAGCTCGATCGGTCAAGTAGTTCCTGAGATATAATCACTTGTTTAAATTTCGTTTTTCCGCAATATCTCGCCAACAACTGCACCGATTTCAATTTTTTTTTTCGAACTACTCGTCTCGATGGCCTCTATCTAGATCACTCATATCATATCTACCGATTTGTTCAAAGTTTGGAGATATTGCCGTTTTCCGTTTTTTCATAAAAAAAAACCTTGTACGCACGATAAGTCAATGAAAAAACGAGCTAGCGACTTGAAATTCGGCATGCTGCTAGCTTTTGTAACATAGACGGTTCGTATTTTCGATGAGGTCAATCGGTCGAGCGGTTCGCGAGATATTCAATTTTATGTCATATGTGCCCAGAATCACGCGATTCTAACCTCGCTTCGCTCGGTAGAATCGCGGATTCTGGGCCCTATGACATAAAATCGTATACAAAACTCGTGTGTTATGGTGTTTTTTGACTCGTGGGATTGTAAAACTCGCCTTCGGCTCGTTTTACAACTTCCCACGAGCCAAAAAACCCATTACGCACTTGTTGCGTAATATACTATTTTGTGGAAATCTATTCTGTCAAATATCTCGTCAACTACTTGACCGATTGAAAATTTTCTTTTTTCAAAATATCCGTCTCGATCGCTACTATCTAGATCATGGGAAATATATATGTATACCCGTCCATACAAACTTTTGGAGATATTCTCGTTTTTCTTTTTTTTTGTTTTCTCATTCTTGTACGGTTGATAACTTGTGACGGAAAACGATATAAAGTTGAAATATGGTATATATATCTCTTTCATAATGCCAAAGGTCCGTACTTTAAATGGACGGCATCGGTGCAGTGGTATGAAACAGATTTATTTTTTGTATATATCCATTTCAGTAAAAGGTAAAATATTTTTTTTTCCCTACTGCTTTCCACGATTTCTCGTCTGGGAATTGGTATAACATACTTTCCAAACTTGAAAAATTGAAAATCACTACGGAAAAATATTTTCCGGGCTGCCGTTATGTTTTTTTTACTCGCACGGTTGGTCTGCCTCGCCTTTGGCTCGGCTCAATAACTCCGCGCACCTAATCAAATCATTCGTTGATCGCTTCCCTAGACGTAAAGTTAGTTAGATGGTTTCAAAGATAAAATTAATAAAAGAGATTTTACATTTTTACAATATATTTTATCAAACAATTATATTTTATCAAACTATAATTTCATTTGATAGTTGATCGATATTCGAAACACCACGCCATATAAACGACGCAGAATAGCACTATGGAATACCATCTGGAATGAGGGTGACTTTCGTGAATTTGAATGGGATGTGACGGCGATTTTTCCCAACGTAGACTAATATGAACGGATTGGATTCGAAACCTGGAACCCGCAGAAAATTCCAGACTGAACGGTAGCCGTAGTGTGTCACCTTCGGCCTCTTCCACTTTGATGTTCCCTGAAGTTCTCGAAAACCGTAGAAACGATAGAAACGCCATAACTGGAAAACGAGAAGACAGCTACTCTTTTGAGGAACTGGTATCGGGCGCCAGTTGATTTTTGTTTCGGCGGTATCAACGAACCGCAGCCAAAGGGAACCAAACGAGAAGAAAACTAGACTTAAAGATAACTAGGGAAAATCGAAGGGAGAGGTTGCGGAATTATTTCGACTAGCTCGAAGGAATTCGGAGAGCGGGGTAGGATCGGTCGCTCGGTCTTAGGAAAAGGTGTCTCGCAACCCAAAGAAATATTCCAAAATTACTCAAAACCAGATCGGAAAATTAATCAAATCTGAGACACGTGGATTATGTTAAATTGACTCGTGATTTATTTCATTTCTCAAAATCGATCCAAAATAAATAGAAATTCTAAATTTATTTACTACGATTTATTCCTGAGGGAGAGAGTAAACGAATGGACCCTGAGAGAGAGAAATATCTGCGAGAACGGGGGAGAAAAACCTAAATACGTATGATCTCTCGGCACAACCGGAAATGGCGTGCACGGGGATCCATACACATACGAGAACCGCTAGCGACGAAGAATTGACGGGAAGCCGAATATTCACTGAAGGAGAAAACTCGAGGAATGGCATAGGCACTCGCAAGATGCCCTCAGTTCACATTCTCGAATTCTCTCTCGACCAGGAGCCTTGTGGCGTCGCTTCAATTATAGGGAGCTCACGAGCTTCTATTCGACGAGAAATCGGTATTATGGAAATAAAATATCAGAGAAAAATGCTACGGAACGAAAAGCGCTCCCAAATGAGGCGTCAATCCGTCCGAGCAATGAAAAGCATGTAAAACAGCACCACAGCTTGTAACGAGATTTTCTCGTTACGGGTTGAAATCCCCGTGAAAAGATAAGTGAACTCTTAAAATTATCGAAGAGAGATAAGTAGTGACATCTAGAGGCGGCTGAAGAAAGCCGAGACTAGATGAGATGAACCACAAACCAATGAAAGACCTAAGGCATAGCGGTTATGGGTGAAACCGCGACCCCTGGAGGTCTGAAGCGCGTTACTAGACTATCGCCGTATTAGAATTCGCCCAGCATGTGCTAGGGGAAATGGGGCCGACGTACAGGCCGTCCAACTGGGCGATTCTGTCGGCTATGTCGGAGTAGGTTAGGGACCAACGGCCAGGTGAAAGGACTGGTACCTCCGTGATCCCGTCAGGTTGACTGGTGGGGATAGGGTAACGGAATGACCTATCGTCGCNGGGGCCGACGTACAGGCCGTCCAACTGGGCGATTCTATAGGCTATGTCGGAGTAGGCTAGGGACCAACGGCCAGGTGAAAGGACTGGTACCTCCGTGATCCCGTCGGGTTGATTGGTGGGGATAGGGTAACGGAATGACCTATCGTCGCCGAGATATCCAGACTAGGAGGCAAGGCCCTAGTAAGATTCCGAGTTAGTCGCACGCGAGCGCTTGAACCGAGAGGTTGAAATAATCTCGGTGTGCTGGAGTGGTGGATGGCTGGAAAAGCCATGGTAAGGAGTTTTACTCAGCGTAGGCTGGTGCATAACTGTGACGGCGAATATAGGGGGATACCCCTGCATCCCCCGCGCGTAAATCTGAGTTATTTCGGAACACGAGGTGAGGACTTCGTCGTGTTCGGCGTCATCTAGTCTCGGCGGAACGATTCGAGGCGTATGGGCCCGTG